CCCCCCCCCCTTGCGCTTTAATTACTCCCGAGGGCCAAAAACAAAAAAAAAACGTAAAAAACGAAAAATTGCCTTTGAATGAAAGTTGGGATAGAGGAGTAGGTTAGAGGATGACAAATGAACCGGGCGGTACAAGCTAGACTACAGTACATGAAAGGGAGGGGGGGGAGAGTGGGGGAAAGGTTTATTAAGCAGAGATAGAGTAAGGTAGGGTAAGGTAAGCCATTTTAAGACACATCAAGGTGGGGTAGGTATGATAAGGCATGGTAGGTTACGGAGACCTAGGGTATAGTAAGGTAGGGTAGAGTATCTTCGAATAGGGTGGGGTAGAGTAGGGTATAGTAGGGTAGGGTAAGGTAGGGTAGGGTAGGGTAGGGTAGGGTAGGGTTGGATGAGATAGGGTAGAGTAAGGTAGGGTAAGACAGAGCAGGGTAAGATAGAGTAGGGCGGGTAGACTTTTCTCAACTCACAAGGCTTATTTCTCAAATCAACCCACTCCCTCCTCTCCCCCAGCCTCTCCCTCCCATCCACCCCTTTCCATCCCTGCCATTCTGAACATTAATCCACTAAAAGCCCTCCAGAGACTTTCAAACAAAAAAAATTTTTTTTTTCAGATATTGCGCACTCATTAAGGCCCAAACGGAATAGTAAAGTCAGCATGGATGTAACAGAATGGTAGGGGTAAGGGAAAAAGGGAAGAGCAAAAAAGACCCTATAAACTACCAAACTACCCTTTCCCCATCAGAAGAAGAGGAAGGGGTAAAAAAGAAGGGTATGAAAAAAGGTCCTCTCCCCCCTCCCCTCTACCACAGAAAAAAAAGGGGATTAAAATGTAAAAAGGTTGGGTAGGTTGGGGTGGTAAATAGTAAAAACACCCCTTCCACTAACCCTATAACCATTAGGGTAAGGACAGAAAGGAGGAAACGGATAGAAAGAAGAAAAAGTAGGAGTGAAGGGAGGGGGGGGAGGGGGGGAGGGTTAAAAAAACCCGCCTTTCCAATCGGAGAGGAAGGCGGGAGAGGGAAGACAAAAGGTGAATATAAAAAAGACGGCATGAGTAAAAAAAGCTGGAGGGGAAGAGTAAAGAGAGTAAAGACCCCCTAAAAGTAAGCGGGTAGGGGTAAAAAAAAGCCATCCCCTTCCCCCCCCTCAAACAGAAACAATAAGACAAATAACAAAAAGGGGAGGAGGTAGAAAAAAGAAGAGAGAAGTATGGCCCCTAATAGTACGAAGAATGACCGACCAAACAAAAGCCATTTCTTATTAGAAAGAATGGCCAAATATAGGGCCAAATTAAGCCCTCCTATAACAAGATATATAGTTATGGAACCAACAGTAAACAGTAATAAAGCCAAGTGTATGTGGCAAGTGTACGATGAGCGATGGCATCATAGCTTTACATTGACATCTTAAGCACATATTACATTTTGGGGTACTGTAACATAAAGTAATGCACTCAGTGATTTGAAAAAAAATTTTGAATGCTGAAGATTACTGTAAGACTACCGTAGGGCAGTGTGAGATAGAGATAGGAGTAGACCTTAGGGCAGGGTAAAAGGCAGAATGTATGGTAAGTTAGGGTAGACATCAAAGCACAGTAAATTTTAATGCAGGGTGGATTTGAAGGCGGGGTAAATCTCAAGGCAGAGTAGATATTAGAGCAAGGTAGATCTTAAAGCGGAGTAGTTCTCAAGGCAGAGTAGATCTTTTGCAGGATAAACTTACGGGGGAGGGAGGAGTAAATCTATAGTAAATCGTAGGGCAGTAAACCATAAAACAGGGTAGATCTTAGAGCTTAGTATCTCTCAGGACGCGAGCTTAAAGTTGGGGAGGAAACGGCAGGGTAGACCTTAATTCGGGGCAGAGCTTGAAAAGAAGCGATTTTTAGGGTAGGGTAGATCTTAAGGCAAGGGCGGGGTAGACCCTAAAGCCGGAAGATATTAGTTGAGGGTAGATCTTAGGGATCGGTAGATCTTCAAACGGTGTAAACCTTAAAGCACAGCCGACCTTATGGTAGGGCAGATCTTAGGCAGGTTAAGAATTAAGGCAGGGTAGGTCCATCTTAAAGCGGGATATATCATACAGATAAAGTAGAGATCAGAAGGTATTTACCAGTAAAGGTAAGTGTAATAAAATCAACGTGTATAAAACTACAAGGTTACTGTAACATGGATTTGCTAAAAAAACATTTTAAAAATTAAATTTAAAAATAATATTTTTAATTTCAGAAAGAACCCCATTATTGATTATGACAAACGCCAATTGTAATAATAAATAAAGCCAAACGGTTCAAACGAAATAAAACAATGTTCTTTCGGCCGTTCTGTTTGTTTTATGTTTTGCAGAGGAAATTATGAGGAAAATGCAAACAAAAAATAAATCTTCGAAAAGACTATACTGATAATAAGAAAACTGTTCATGCTTCAACATTTCAAATTTAGTCTCAATTCAATAGCCTTTCCTTAACCCTAAAGACTTGTTCTTGTCCGTAGGCCTAAGTAATTAGTCTTTCCTTAAGCCTAAAGGCTCGGTCGGGTTCTGAAGCCTAAGTTAATCGATTTTTAAGTCAAATAATAGGCTTGAAACTTCATAAATGTGACATTATAGGCTTGCAATTAAGAGTTACATGTTTTCTCATGTCCTAATGAATATATTAAGTGCCGACATAAAGAACCCGCCACACTTTGCCTGTAAATTCCTGTAAAAAATGGTGGGTTCTTTATGTCGGCATCTAATATTATGTGCAAATGAACATATTAAAGCGTAAATAATAATTAAAATGGTACTCTTAAGCCTAGACATATAATATCACGCTTAATAGAATAGTAGAACATGCCAAGCCCAAAACTTCCGTTACTTTGAGCCAATTCACAGAGAAACCAGACTAAGACTAACTAATTGCCCTGCCCAAGCTTATCTTTACCATAGCAAAAATTATCTCCATATGAAAACCATACGCACCTCTTTAGTTTATGCTGTCCCAGTACTAAAACGTTACCATTCACTAGCAGTACTTAACATATTGGGTGCCGACATAAAGAACCCGCCATGTTTTTCCTGTTATTTTCTGTGAAAAATAGCGGGTTCTTTATGCCGGCACCGAATACTTAAGCATAAGTTAAAAACGCTGTAAAAAACCTAAGCCTAAACACTGTTGGATTGCACTTCTTCGTATTTTACCATATTAATCTTGTCAATACTTCCTTACCATCCACTAATAGTACAGCTACCTGTGGACCAAAAAAAATTTTTCGACCTCCCAGGGAAAAACCGTAGCGACGTCCCTGCCCACAAGTATACTAAACATACATCAACCACAAGTGCTACAACTGTACCAACCACAAGTAGTGCTCAACCTATGAAGACCGACCTATCATAATATAAACATTGAGTATAAAAGTCACTTCCAATACCCTCAAACAAACATAAGCTGCAGATAAAAAGGTATTGACTTGAGTTTGTTAACAATCGAAATATGATAATCAGTTGCAATCACTTCCTATCAGCTGATATCACAATAATAGAAGGTTGAACTCTGTTTTGAAACAAACTTTGCATTGTTTGGTTTGTCGATAAGTAGAAGGCATGTTTAATATAATAATGCACAGCATTTAATACTATGTAAGTCTACCTAACCGTACAGTACGCCAAACAACTGAATACAGTAGTTACGACCATACTCTCCTATATATTAAGTTCCGACATAAAGAACCCGCCATTTTTGACAGAAAACTAAGGGGAACCTATGGCGGGTTCTTTATGTCGGCATTTAATAGTATGCCTAATCCAATTCTACCGTAGTTCCGATATACAGTATGCCATCCAAGGGAATACAGTACTCCATGCCCCACTATACACATATATACACCAAGATAGTCAATGGAATACAGTATGTACTATCCCACTCTACAATATGCCCTACTCAATTCTACAGTATATCAGTCAATTTAATACAGTATACTAATTAATGTCATATAGTAAGCCTTAGGATAGCCCTATAATAACAATAAGCCTTACAAACCGTGAAATATATGCCAATATTAACCATAAGACAGTCATGATATTAACCATACTACTGAAAGCCTACGATTATAACAGCTAGTCCTATCAGATATTGAGAGTAATATCATCCATCTATAGTCCACTCCCCCTTAGGCTAAAAGCCGCAATTTCGACGAAATTAAGTGAGAGAAAGATAAACAAAAGTGACCAGTACGAATATTAATATAACACCATTCATACTATTCGGGTTCAGAGGGAGGTATTATTAGAAATGGCACTTTCAAATTTTTAAAAATTTTTCGGAATTTCAAAAATTTCAAAAACTTTTTCAAAATTTAAAACCTACAGTACTATCCTTACAAGACCTTCCATCTTCAAGGTACTTGTTTGTACGAGCTTTGGCCCCATTTGTCATCATTTTAGCCTCCTTCAATCCAATTATGCCATATTGTACCAAACAAAAGGTCCTATTTGTACCAATTTCATCATGCCGTATCAAGTATAGTATCCTGCTTATACCATTTTTGCTGCTTTGTACCAAAAACAACTAACACTTCAGTACTCGTTAAAGATGTGTGACTATACTGATATTGATCATGCTCCATACTTACCTGATCAAACGTTTGTTAGTAAATAAAGCGTTAGTTAAGCATGGCAATGTTAATATGATATAAACTATGAGTATAAAAAGCACCAGCTAACATAAAGAAAAGCGGTTCGAGATTCCAAATTTTGATTGCAAAATTTACTCTACTGTATCCTACCGTACCCTAATATTAGTTACTAATATCATATCATACCCTACCCTACTCTAAATTGCCCTATACTTTAGTATGACATACCATACATTACCATACCATCCTCTATACATACCTTACCATACCCTCCTCTATACATACCTTAACTTCACATAATCTACCCCGCCTTACTTTTCCCTAAAATAAAATGTTTTATCTTACTAGCTTATGTACCCAAGTCATACATTTAAATATAGTATATTATAATATATTACTACTGTACCATTCTGTACCACTTACTCTCTGTTTGGCCCTATTCCGTCTCTGTCTTCTCCTGTAGCCTTTGGTCAGTTTCTTTGCTGTCTCCTCGTTTCCATTATCTATCACCGAAGCGTTTTCGTCAACGAATTCTTCGATGGTACAAGTATCGTCTTCAGTTTTGGCCATTTCTTCTAAAAATTTTAAATTTTTTTGAAATTTCAAAAAATTTTTAAATTTTAAAAAAATTTTTTTGAATTTCAAAATTTTAAAAATTTTTAAAAATCCTCACCTTTGACCTCAAAATTCTCATAAGTTTGATTCATTTTGTCGCAAATCTCATCGATCTTGGCATCGCCATCGAAACTCTGAATCCCCGAATCCGGCGAACTGCGCCCACTCGATGTTCGGCTCGATTTCAAGGAATTATCGGTTGAAGACATTGCACTTATGAAAAGAGATCCTGGCAAAGGTTAGTTATCCTGAAACTTGAAAATTCAGTGATTTAATAATTTTTAACAATACACGCAAAAACTTTGTTTACAGCGCGAAAGATTAAAGTTTTGTGATAATAAAAAAAATCCAAAGTAAAAACTTTTTATAAAATTTTAAATTAAACCGCTTAAAAATAGCAAAAACTAAACAAAAAGCTTAATTTTCGTATAACTTGTTACCCGCAGGCTGCGGAAGACTAATTTTGCTTGTTTTAAACCTAAAATTACAGAAAATTTGTTTGCAAAACAAAAAATGGCAAAAACTTTCTTTACAGACTATAAAATGGCAAAAACTTCTTTACGAAACAAAAAAGCTTATCCTTCGTATAACTTGTCACCCGCAGGCTGCAGAAGACTCATTTTGCTTGTTTTGGAGAAAAATGAAAGAAACTTTCTTTACTAAGCAAAAAATAACAAGAACTTTCTTTACAAAACATAAAATGGCCAGAACTTTGTTTACAGAACAAAAAATGGCTAAATCTTTCTTTACAAAGCAAAACGTAGCAAGAACTTTGTTTCCAAAACCTAAACAAATAAAAATTTTTAATTTTAGAAAATCATACCTATAATTTAAAAAATTTCTCAAATTTTAAAAAAAATTTTAATTTTTTAAAAAGTTCGCAATTTCAAAAAATTCAAAAAAACAAAATTTGACAACTTTCCAGCCCAAACCGTGTAAACAAGACTGCCGGAGGCAATTTCACAAAATCTACCCTCCAAAGATTAGAATACAATACACGTGGTGTTTACCGCGGTAAAAACGAATAAAATTATTATAATTTTGCGTTTTTCGAACACACTTCAACCCTCGAGGCACAACATTTCAAACATCAAACTCTAATCTCACCTATAACAATGAGCAACAATCAACGTTTAACTCTGACATATTATGCTAAACTGGTCGAGTGGTAGACAGTGACAGTTCGGGATACAGGAGTTTGTAAAAAACTGCAAAAACTTTGTTTACAACATTGAGAAATGACGAAAACTTCCTTTACAAAGAAAAAATGGCAAGAACTTTCTTTACAACGCATAAAATTTAAAAACTTCCTTTAAATTCATAAGATCAAACTTTCTTTAAAAAACATAAAATAGCAAGAACTTTCTTTACAAAACGAAAAAACAATATTCACCGTATAACTTGTCCCATGCAGACTGCACAAGGCTTTTTTTGCATTCTTTATTTAGAAAATAGCAAAAAAATTCTTTACAAGACAACACAGCAAGAACTTTCTTTACAAAAAAAATAGCAAGAACTTTATTTCATATCATAAAATGGCAAAAACTTTCTTTACAAACCAAAAAAAAATAAAAATTAAAATTTCAACCCAATTTTTCAAAAACAAACAAAAACTTTTTTCCACGTGATTTTCATATTTAAAAACCAAAAGATAAAACAAATATTTCCAAATTGAGCAAGCTTAATTAACCCTCCCCCCCCTCTAGGTGTGTTAAAAAGTGTCACGAGTTTAAAGAACAGTGTGTTGGAAAAGGGTTTAAACCTACACTCAGTTGGTTCCTTGATTAATATCTTTTAACTGGTTTCGAGCAAAAACCAAGCAAAAATGCTTACAAGCAACTTCAACATTGAGTTTGTCAGAAGATTTTAGATCGGTTTTAAACCCTACCCTACTTTACTTTACTTTGCCTTGCCTTGCCTTGCCTTGCACTACCTTACCCTGCACCTCTGTACCATACCCTGCTTTGTTCTTCCATGCCCTGCCCTACCTATTCCAAATGACCTACCCTACCCTTCCCGGTCCTGCCTTGCTTTTTTCCTCGCCCTACCCTACCTTACCCTACATTTCCATGCCCTGCCCTCTCTTGCCCTACTCTACCATACCCTACCCCAACTTGCTTGTCCTAACATAACCTACCCTAACTTGCTTCACAATAATCAATTTTTTTAAACATCCTCATTTCCAATGCAAAATTAAATTCAAAACAGTCATTTTTCAGACCTACATATAAAGTAAATTGACATTTTTGGTGAGACAAAGATCACCAAAGTTTCAAAACCAACAAGATTCGAGACCATTAGAAGTTGTTTACAACTGGGAACAGTTGTAAATTACTAAAAATACGATTGCTCTCTTACCTCTACAACAACAACATAAAATTTGCAAAAAATAAAAAACAGGAAAAATTAACAACCCCAAGGAACGGTAATTTCAAAAGAATAACTAACCTCGATCATACCCTACCCTACTTTAACCCACCCTACCATACCTTACCCTACCCCCACCCTACCCTACCCTACCCTACCCTACCCTATCTTACCCTACCCTACCCTACCTTACCCTACCCTACCCTACCCTACCCTACCCTACCCTACCCTACCCTACCCTACCCTACCCTACCCTACCCTACCCTACCCTACCCTACCCTACCCTACCCTACCTTACCCTACCCTACCCTACCCTACCCTACCTTACCCTACCCTACCCTAACCTACCCTACCCTACCCTATTTTACCCTATCATGAATCACTCTTTCCCCTGCCCTATTATGCCCTGTCTTTTCCTGTCCTCTCCTACCCTCTGCACCTCTCCCTATCCTATCCTGTCGTACCCTGCCTCACTCTGACATAAAATTATCTTTCCCTAAGCTAAATTTATTCTAATAATTCACCCTGCCCAACGTTATAATTCTAGTTCCTTTATTCACCCCGCCCTCTTTCTTTTATAGCCAACCTTAGAAACCCAAAAAAACTACCCTACCCTATCATAACCTGCCCTATTCTGTTCTACCTTACCCTGCACAATTCTACCCGCTCTGCCTGACTCTAACATAAAGTTATCTCACTCTAAGACAAACTTATTCAAATATTTTACGTCCCCAGATTCTCTTATTATCCCACAATAGTCTACCCCCCCCCCCCACTTAAAAAAAAACAAAAAAGCTTAAAATTAATCCGTTTTAATTTTTAAAAATCGTCAAAACAAACATTAAAACTCCACTCCCACTTACATCATGCTTATTAACAACATTATTCTTCACATGAAATTCAAAACACCCCACCTCCCCCCCCCCCCGAGAAGGACAAGTAAACAGAATACAAGTTAACCCATTAAAGGCCTTCATACTCAATCATTTACGACACCACTTCCTGGAATACATTCCACCAGTCAATTTTCAACTTTTTTTACGTTGTTTTACACTTTAACCTGGCTCTATTCTCTTCAATTTGTAATCACTTGGTTGGTAAAGTGGGTGCAGAAAGTTGGAAAAAGTAAAAAAATTATTTTTAAACTTGAAACCTTTACTGTAGCAATACCATGTAACTTTGCATTACCATAATATATCATAACAAACTTTATCCTACCCTACCCTACTCTACTCTACCTTACTACAGTACCCAGCAGCAAACCAAAAAACCAAAAAAAAACTTATTTTACCTTGCCATAAGATTTAGAGCGTACCCATGCCCATGCCACAACCCTATTGTACCCTGCCTTAAACCTACGCTCCCCCCCCCCGCTCAACACCCACTCCAAACTGAAACCCTTTGCCTATTTACCATTTACCTAGGTCCACTTTACCCTACCCTGCCTTAAATCTAACCCCACACTCTCTCGAAACGTAAACCCCCTACCCTATTTACTCAACTCTATTTTATTCTACCCACCTCCTATCTTACACTACCTTACCCTACGCTGTCTTAAACTCACCCCCCCCCCTCCACTGAACACCCACTTCAAATAAAAAAAACCCATGCCCTGTTAACCTAGCTCTATCTTAACCGACCCTACCTTACTTTTCCTTATTCTAACCAAGTTTACCTTTCCCTGCCTTACATTACCCTACGTATCCTACCCTACCCTGCTCTATTCTACCCTACTCTACTTCACACCCTCCCCCCTTCCACACCCACTCCAAACTAAAAAACTCATGCCCTATCTACTTAGCTCCCCATTACTCTACCCTATGTTTCCCTATCCCCCTCCCCACTCCTTTATCCTTCCATACTCACGCAAAGTTAAAAAAACCCATTTTACTCATTACATAGTTATAACCCCTAAACCGTGTCAATAAAAGCAAGTAAATACCATCGAAAACCACAGTAAAAACAACGTAAAACGTGCTGATTTCCCTTTTTTTCAAAAAAAAACGAATTCTAGGAAACTTGGTGTAAATTAAATCGCAACGCCCAATTGTAACTGGCTAGCGGATGGGTGTTTTTATGTTCTTCAAGGTTACTTTCGCCTTCGCTTGCTTGGTGGAACAACAAAACAAAGCAGAGGAACGGTCAGAACAATAAAAAAAACAAGCAAACATTCTGTTTTTAATGTTAAGAAGGGGTGTGGGGCGGGAGGGGGGGGAAGGGGGGTGAATAAAACAAGATTGTTAAACGTATTTTTTGAACTTTACTATAGCAAATCGAAGTAAATTGTGCAAACAATACTTGATTTAGAAACAAACAGTACTATTAGATTTTTCACATAATTCTGCGCCCCATACCCCACACATTTGCTTTGAAAGGAGGCGCAGAATTAAGTGAACAAACTAATAAGTGATGCAGAAAGAAACATTACTAAAGTGTTGCAAAAAAGAGTACCCAAGTTCAACTATATCATACTGTGAAACAGAAAACACTAACCATTTGTACCTTACTTTAAAGAAATGCCTATAGAAAACCCTATATATACAGTAGGCCGCACTACAAGTTAGTTGCAGTCTTAGCGTAAATACCAGGAAGTGGCTTCTGTTATATCATTTCTTTATAAACCATAGCAATGAAAACCTTGTTCCTCTAGCCTAAAGCCCTATAGCTTCTATTATTTGCTTTTTATCTATACCATAGTAAAAACTTTGCTACTCAATTCACAAATACCATAAAGCAGCTACTACTGTCTCATTTCTACCTAGATCACAGCGTAGATATAACTATTCTAGTCTAAACTTCCATAAAATAGTTTCTGTTACCTTATTTGTTCGTACACCACAGT